GCTATTTATAGCCTTCCCCTATTACCTAAGGTTTTGAAAGTCAATACATTTTTATACACAAAATTAGTTGTCAATTAATTTTAATGTAATCATCAAATGAAATATTAAGCACCTGAAATAAATAGTAGACTATAATGCTAATAAGACACCTTTGTACTTTCACATCGGCTTTGGTCTTAATTTCCCGTTACACCCCAAGCTAAGGCGTTAGCCCATCATCGCTCGGTTTCTTCTCTCGAAGGATGTAAGAACTGAAAAATAAATAACGATACAGAAGAGTAATTGCAGAAAGTAAATTACAGAAAATAGAAATATTGGAATTTAAAGTACTGGAATTTAAATGACTGAAATATAAATGACTGAAAGTAAATTACTGGAAATTAAATGACAGAAATGTAAATTGCAGTAAAATAAAGACTGAAATGTAAAGGACTTAAATATAAAAGACTGAAATATAAATACTGAAATATAAATGACTGAAATATAAATGACTGAAATATAAATAGTGAAATATAAATTACTGAAATATAAAGGACTGAAATATAAATACTGAAATATAAATTATTAATAATTAAATAATATTAATTAATTATAATCTAGTAATGATGGAAGGAAGTACATGATGAGATGACAAGTAGTACTTTGATGGGAAGGAAAGATGACATATGAAAACCTTGGAAAATGGGGTTGACTTTTAAAGAAAACTTGCAAGTCAAGTAACGAAACTTGCAAAACAAGTTTCGTTACAAAGACCGAAAGATTATTTGCAAACTCGTAAAAACTGTTTATTTAGACTACGTAAATTAGCCATGAGCCACAAAGGATGAGATCCGATGTAAAGCAACAACGATCGACTAATTCGTAGTAAGAAAACGTAACGTAACTTGGAACAGAAATAAGATGAAGATTAAATACGAGTGCTTAAATTAAACCTTGAAAATGAAGTCACAACTTACAAAAATCGGTTCTTGAAAAGTCAAACGATAAGAACTGAAAGCTTAGAACCGAAAGCAATATTCTTGAAAATAACTAGCACAAAGATTATAAGGATTCAATGGTAGAGAGCATCCAAAAATCTCCAAAGTATGTAAAAAGTATCAAAAGTATATGTAAAACAAGGCTTAAGGTTTGTTTATATAGGCCAAGGAAGGTCCCATAGTGGTGCCAACTAATAAGACAAAAATCCCTTCAAAACTGGGCTTTGACCGGGCCCAAGGTCGTTGACCACGCCTCCTCTATGGATCAGCCCATTTCTTCACGGCCCAAGCAGAAATTTAGCTCTCGGACAGGTACTATAGGACCTTGCCACACCTGGTCCTGTAGGACTGCCGTAGGATTGGGCCCAAAAATCATCAAAAACCTGTAAAAACAGGGAATTAACATTAGATATACTATATAACTACTAATATATGAAAAAGACATAAAAAGACTCAATTAAGACACTAATGGGCAAATAAAACAAAGGAAAATGGTTAAGAAAATGATGTAATAAGGTTAATAAATTAACACTTATCAATGATATAGGAATGGCCTGTTATAGCCAAATTAACCAGTATTCACAAATTATAATGTATAGAATGAAGGATATTATCAACCATAAGTTCTGATTGGCCAAATGCTTGGGATCTTAGTAAGATACCTCTAGGTTAAGCTCATGTTTTTTCCAACTTAAGTAAAATAAGCCTCCTCCTAATCACTTGTGTGAATTTTAGTCTGTTGGATCTTTAAAATCTAATGATACACTAGACTTAAGTTGACAAGACACACATCTAGGTTAAGCATAATCTTCTTGTGGAAAACTTAGCACACACTTGTATTGAACACATGTATTTTAGTGAAAGCTCTCACTATTTTTATTGAAGGTACACAACATTTATACAAGAATAAAGCAATGGAAACAAAACAGAGAAATAGGAGACCACTACTCCAACAGCTAAGAAAAAATCATACCTAATCTACTCCCTATAGACTAGGGATTATTAGCAACAAAAAGAAAACATAAACCCACTACCTTGTTGACTAATTCCAACAAATCTTCCCCTAAACTGGAAGCACTTCATAGAAGTATCCATTTTATACTTCATGTTGTTGCACACCCAACAAATCACGCATCTTGACAAAAGTTTCAAGTTTCACAGGTTTGGTCTTGACATCTGCTACCTAATCACTTGTTCCACAATGCGACAGCTTCACCACCTCTTGATTTGTCTGGTCAAGTAAGAAATGATATCGAACATCAATATGCTTAGTTCTTTGATGCATAACCGGATTCTTCGAAAGCTTGATTGATAAACTATTGTCACAAAATATTTCAATACATTGTCTTTTAGAGTACATCAATTGCTCGAGAATTTCTTTCACCCATATGTTGTGACATGCACATGAGGTAGCCGCAACATATTCAGCTTCGGTAGAGCTTAGAGTAACAATGGGTTGCTTTCTCGAGCTCCAGCATACAACTGCACCACTTAACAAAAACACATATCCAGATGTGCTTCTTCTATCATCAATATCAAGAGCATAATTGCTATCGGTATAAACCTTCAATCCACAAACATTATCTGCCTTATACATATTTCCAAAGTCTAGAGTCCCCTTTACATACCTCAAGACTCGTTTTGCAACTTGAAGGTGCTCCTCCAGGGGTTTTGCCATGAATCTGTTGATGAGGCATACAACATACATGATATCGGGTCTGGTGGTCGTCAGGTACAGCAAGCTGCCTACAAGTTGCTTAAAGAGAGTAGCATCAACTTCCTTACTTTCAGAGTTCTTTGAAAGTGTTGTTCCTGGGACAATTGGGTTCTTGACAAGATTACAGCTCCACATCTTCAATCTTTCAAGTACCTCCTTTGCATACTTCTTCTTACTAAGAAAAATCCTCGTTGAATTTTGGTGAACTTCTACTCCGAGGAAGTATTTCATTCTTCCCAAGTCGCTCATTTCAAATTCTCTCTTCATGGAATCTTTAAACTCATCACACATCCTGACATCATTTCCAGCATATAGTAAGCATAACGTAAAGACTAACCATTAAGAATTTTTTTCCAAATCGCTTAACAAATAGGCTGTGATCTTGGCTGCAACTTTGAAAACCTTTCCGATCGAAGTAAGCCTTGATCCTGCTATACCAAGCTCGTGGAGCTTGCTTCAACCCGTATAAAGCTTTCTTGAGGCAATATACCTTATCTTCATTCCCACACTTGATGTACCCTTTCGGCTGTGTCACATAGACCTTCTCATTTAGCTCACCGTACAAGAATGTTGATTTAACGTCAAGTTGATTTACGATCCACCCCTTTTGAGCAGCCACTACAAGCATAATCCTAATAGTGTCCCAACGAACCACAGGTGCAAACACTTCATTGTAATCGATTCCTTGTCTTTGAGAGTAACCTCTGGCCACCAATCTAGCTTTGCACGTATACACGCTCCCATCTTCCTTTAATTTTGTTTTGTAAATCCACTTCACGCCAATGATTTTGCTGTTTGCAGGTGGTGCTACTAGCTCCCACTTGTCGTTTTTCTCAATTGCTTTCATCTCAATTTCCATAGCATCACGCCATTTTTTCTTTGACTGCATCTGTGTAAGTTAATTGGTCTCCAAGCTGTGTGAAATATGCATAATCTGCTTCAGCTTCTTTTTCACCCTCGGAGAGACCTTCACCGGTCTCGTAGTTGCTCATCCACACAGGCCCCTTCTTGTTCTTTTTGTAGGCGCATCTTTGTCACGTCCGTCTTCCCTCTCAACTGATTTTTCTGCCGATTGAGAAATATCAACGACTTCATCATCGTTGTCAACTTCATTTTCTTGTTCACACGTGTCTTCCCTTTTATCTGTTTTCTCTGCCGATTAAGGAATATCAATGACCCCATCATTTTTGTCATCTTGGCTGCCGCTTGGATTGTCTTCTCCCAAATCCAACATCTCATTTTTCACTTTATTTCAATCCCACTTTCTCTTCTCTTCAAAGATGACATCACGACTGATAATAACCTTCCTTGTGATAGGGTCATAAAGCCTATAAAAGCTCTAGATTCATCACCAACGCCAAGCAAAATATATTTGTTGCTTCTGATGTCTGTTTGTACTCTTCGATGTTGAGGAACATGAAGTGTGCTATACACCCAAACATACGAAAATGTTCCACACTTGGCTTAATTCCACTCCATGCTTCTTCAGGAACCATGTCTTGGACAGTGATTGTCATGCTACAATTTATGATGTGAGTAGCCTAATTTGAAGCTTCAGGCCAGAATGTTTATGGCATGTCCTTCTCGGTGAGAAAACAACGTACCATATTCATTGTTGTTCGAKTTCTTMKCTCGRCAACTCCGTTCTRTTGAGGGGTGTATGATGYAGTGARYTGTCTCGTAATACCTTCTYCTYTGCAGAMWGMATTRAACTCTAGARAGTTGAACTCCCCACCCCTATCGGTCCTTAAACAACGTATTGGTTTTCCCGCTTCTTTCTCACTTATTCTCTTGAAACACTTGAATGTATTGAGCGTTTCTGCTTTTTCACATAAGAAATACAACCACATTTTTCTGCTAAAGTCATCAACAATAGTGAAAACRTACCTTTTCTCACTATGAGATGCAGGCGAAATCGAACCACACAGATCAACATGTAGTAGTTGTAACTTTTACGTGGCTTGAAATTTGCTTTGTTTTGAGAATGGTTCACGATGTTGTTTCCCTTTGTTGCATACTTCACACACTTCGAATGATGATTGTAACTTTGGCAACCCTTTGACAAGTTCCTTCTCTTGCATCGTTCGAATACTTTTGTTGTTCATATGGCCAAATCTTTGATGCCAAAGCTCCACCACGTTCACTCCTACAACATTCATACAGGTTGCTTTGAGTGGCTTTATTTTGGCCGAGATGAAAAACATTCGATTGGTAGTCATTCTTGTATTAAAAATCAAACCTCTCCCGGAATGAAATATTTTACAGTACCCTCCTTTGATTGAAATGGCTAATCCTCTCTCTTGTAACTAACTCATGCTTAGCAAATTAGTTGACAGCTCCGGAACATAAAACACATATGTTACTGTTTGCACAATCTCATCAACTTCGAATCGAACATTTCCTTTCCCCATTGCAGGCATCATGTGATTGTTTCCTAGCTTCATAGTATGTCTGAAAGATTCATCCATACATACAAACCACTTTCGACTCCCGATCATGTGGTTGGAACAGCCGGACTCAAGAAACCACGTACCTTCTTTTTCAGTATCTTCCATATTTACACATGCCATCAAAAGCAATTCTTTTTCTTCGTTGAGTTTTGCATAATTTGCTCCCCGTTCTGTAATGGGACACTCAAATTGGTAACGCCCTAACTTATGACATCTATAGCATTCAACTATGGACCGACTGAACGTTCCGAACTGTCCTCGACCATAGTTGTCTCCTTCTCTCCCATAGCTGCTTCTACCTCTTCCTCGTCCTCCTCGGTATTCATGTTCAGCCTTTAGGACATGTTCCTCCGTCTCTTTGTTTCGTACTTTTAGTTCATGCATCAAAAGAGAGCTTTGAAGTTCATCGACTGAAAGCTGGTCGATGTCCTTAGATTCCTCAATGGAGCAAACCACAAAATTGTAGTTTTTTGACAATGTACGCAAAATCTTCTCAATGATTTTAACATCTTTCAGATCCTCGCCGCAATTTCTCATGTCATTGTTGACATTCATAACTCTCCCAAAGTAGTCTGAAATTGACTCCCCGACCTTCATTTCTAACGTCTCAAAGGTTCTCCGTAACCTTCGCAGTTGAGCTTTACTTCATACATGCACTTCCTTGGTACTTTGTTTTCATTGAATCCCAAATCTCCTTCGCCAAATCCTTCTGAGTGATAGTCTTGAGTATCGACTTGTCTATGGCCTGGAACATGTAATTCTTAGCCTTTAGATCCTTCATCTTTGCTTCTTCAATTTAGTTCTATTGAGTCGTTATGTGGGCTCCATCCTTGCCTGGTTGCTCGACGTCATTTTCGATCACACTCCAGTAGTCTTTTAACATCATGAGATTCTTCATAAGTAAACTCCATTGATCATAGTCTCCTTCGAATTTGGGCACACACGGTGTTGAGAAATTGCTATTTGTTGCCATCGTCTTGAACCACTTAGAACAAAACTCTTCACTCTCACAGAACTCTCAATATCTGGCCCCTTGCGAAAGCTCTGATACCAAATGTGGAAAATTTAGCACACACTTGTATTGAACACAGGTATTTTAGTGAAAGCTCTCACCATTTTCATTGAAGGTACACAACATTTATACAAGAATAAAGCAACGGAAACAAAACAAAAAACAGAGAAATATGAGACCACTACTCCAACAGCTAAGAAAAAGTCATACCTAATCTACTCCCTATAGACTAGGGATTATTAGCAACAAAAAGGAAACAGAAACCCACTACCTTGTTGACTAATTCCAACACTTCTCCTAAAGCAATGCCATGGTAAGCAATGTCCTAGAAAAGATCTTTACTAGTCCCTGTCAAATGCATGTGTTTCTCTTATTTAGTGAGACAAACCAAAATGCACCATTATATATTTTGTGATCGAGAGTTAGGAATTTTATGTTGGAAAGTGGTATGACACATGATAAAGCAGATTTGAAGCCCGGAATACGGTGATAATATCAAACTACAAACTATCTCTAGAAGTTACTGGGTTTAGGTGAACCTATGTTTTCATTCCATTAAAATGTTTGTCATCCTCCAATAAATGACTATAGATGCTTAATCTTGTTCTTGTGATCCTTCTATTAATTTCTTTAAATAGTACAATTATTGATTATAGATGTTTTATCTAGTTATTATTTTCTTTTTGGAAATGGTAACCGTTATTGATCATTTTCTCGATAAAACTTTAAGGTGGAACCAAAGCAAGGATATATGTGTTATTGGAATGGTACCATTATTAAAAGAATTTTATTTTTCAAACCGTATGGCATAACAAATACGCAATGTGAGAAGCATTCTTCATATGTTGTTGGAAACTACTTAAGGACTCACGTAATTGAGAAATTGTATTATTGTTTTGAAAATTACCTAGTTTTGTAATTTACTAGGAAATTATAAGAGATTTGCTATATGTGGTTATTGAATTTGATTTCAACCTTTATTGGTTAACCAATTTTCGACATTGGCGTACCTTGACTAAAGAAGAAAGGTTCACTCATGTTCATGCACAAATTAGAGTCTCCAATACAATTAGTACATATGAAGAAGAGATGGATGCGACTATTAGTGAATGCTCAAAACTAATCATATGATGATTGTAATTTTGAGTTCTGTTTCATGAAATTAATAAATAAATAAAAGGCATCTCTCATTTTATTATGTATATATTATATTTTGTGTTTTACTTATTCGTAATAAATAACCTTATAATAATCTATTTTGAATGTCCCTAGTTCAATATTATTTCGGGTTTGAGGTTGAAGTAATATGATAATGACTAGTATATGTAGGGATTCATATAGAGATATTGAATCTGAATATGGGTGCAAGATGGAGATTTTGTGTACTAGACGTGAGTCGCTATGAGAACACTGCATTGAATGTCATATGAGTTCAGATCGATGGTGGTCTGTGGTAGTTCAGATGGAGGTGGTCAACGGTGATTCAGATGGACGGTGGTTCTTATCAGCGATGGCGGTGGTGGTTCAGATCGACGGTGGCGGTGGTGGTTCAGATCGTTGGTGGTCGGTGGTGGCGTTGGTGGCTCAGATCGGTGGTAGTCGTCGGTGGTCGGCAGTGGTTCCCGATTAGTGGTGGTCCACGGTGGTTCAGGTGGCGGTGGTCGAATGTGGTTTAGATCGGCGGTGATTCATATCCAGCGTGGTTCAGATCGGTGATGGATCAAATCGGTGGTTGTTCAGATCGGTGATGGATCAAATCGGTGGTTGTTCAGATCGGTGATGGATCAGATCGGTGGTTGTTCAGATCGGTGATGGATCAAATCGGTGGTTGTTCAGATCAATGATGGTCGACGGTGGTCGGCAGTGATTCGGATTAGTATTAGTTGACGGTGGTTTAGTTAGATGGTGGTCTGTGGTGGTTCAGATGGCAATGATCAATTGTGGTTCAGATCAATGGTGGTCCATGGTGGTTCAGATGGCGGTGATTGGCAATGGTTCAGATCGACGGTGGTTCAAATCAACGGTGGATCAGGTCAGTGGTGGTTCAGATCGACGGTGGCAGACGGTGGTTCAGATCAGTAGTGGTCGATAGTGGTTCAAATTGACGGTGATTCAGATCGGTGGTGGTCGGCGGTGGTTCAGATGGCGATGGTCGACGGTGGTTCAAATTACCGTTTTCTCAAAACCACATAAAATCGTATTATATCGATAAAGACAAATAATAGAAACTAAACATTAAAATCGAGATCTATCTCGCTGCATTGCACGAGTACTCTTCTAGTTTTTATAATAGATGCGTGATCAATTGATATTTTTAAAGCAATTTTTCATAACACACCTCTCATTTTCCACGACTTATCAAAAGTAACCCTCAAACTTTCAAATGACATAACTCGGTTATCACATCAAGTGACGAAACCAACGTACTCATGGTAGTCGACGAGGTTTACGGTTGGAGAAGAAAAGAAGTGAGAATTATAATAATAATTTTATAATATAAAGTGAAAAGGATGAGGAAAAAAATAGCAAAATACCCTGAAGTTAATGGATCTTGTTAACACCATTAACAATAGGGACCAAAAGCGAAACAAAGTGATCAAAAGTGTAACTAGTTTAAAGTTGGGACCAAAAGTGTAATATTATATTTTAAAGAGTAAATTACATGATTGGTCCATGTGGTTTGTGTGTTTTAACGCATCAGATTCTTATTTTAAAATATCTATGGATTACGTTCCTATAGTTTGCAATTTATAACGCATTTGATCATTATCACTAACTCTGTTAGATTTTTTTATGTCAAGTAGGTTAATTAAGAGAGCATTTTGGTCATTTTAATCATAAGGACTAAATATGTATTAAAAACCACATGGACCAAGCATGTAATTTACTCTCTCTATATATTATATGTTAACATATATACTTAATAATTAGAGTAAATTACACTTTTGATCCCTATGGTTGTTATACACTATCAACTGTCGTTCTTCTTTTGAGCTAATTATAGTTTTGGTCACTATGGTTGTCATTATGTTTCATTTTTGGTTTCTCAGACTAACTTCTATTAAAAAGGTTTGTTAAGTCATGAGGTATTTTTATCTTTTTGGTATTTTTACATTTTTCAATTAAAAAACAAGAAAAAATATATTATTATATTAATTTTTAAAGTTTTCACTTTTGATTTTTTTTTGGTTGTTTGAGTTTTAATACCCTCCCCTCAGCAACAATTGAACCTCTCCCCCTCGTCTTCTTCTTCAACGACAACCCCTTCCCCCGAATCAGTCTTCTTCTTCGGCGACAAAGCATCTGTTGTATGTTCTCATTCACCATCTTCACCCTAAAACCCATTTGTTGCATATTATTGCTTGAACAAAAACCTACAAAATCCAGATCTGTTGCAGGCAAAAAAAAAACGTTGCACCAATATTTGTACACAAAATATTCTTCGAGATAGATGTATACGCCCATATCATTGGTTATGAGACGCTGCTTTTTTTTTATGAAAGCTCCCGTTGTTTTGTTCTTAACCATAAGCTCTGGCGACTACTCCTTTCTCGGTGCTCATCTGCCTCTCTCGACGACTCCCCCTTCAATTTATTTTTCCAAATCTTGTTCATCGGTTTCATTGACAAGCGTGAAAGATATGGTTCATAGGTTTCAAATCTGGTTCATAGGTTTTAGATTTGGCTCATTGGTTTCATGGAAAAATGAGACAATATATGGTTCATCCATTTCAGATTTGGTTCATCAGTTCCCGTCTAAAAAGCTCGACGGTTTTTTTATAGACCAGTGATTTGCTGAAGACAAACAAGTAAGCATTGTAGGTCTCGGTATCAAGAATCTGGATCTTAGTTTCTTCTAGGTAGCAACCACACACCCTGGGTCTAGTTTGAACATTTGGATCTTTGTTTCGTCTTCATCTGTTCGAACATTTGGTTCGGTACTTGCACAATTTTATCTCTGGTTCAACATGGTTTTTTTGTTGTTGACATTTGGTTTCAGTTATAGTTTTGAATAAACATATGGGTTTTGCTTTGGGTTTATTTTGTCGGAGAAGATTACCGGAAGGGGAGGGTGTGATTAAGGGGGTGTTTGGGATTGCTTATTTAAAACAACTTATGCTTTTTTTTTTTTTGTAAAAGTACTTATTAACTTATGTGGTATCAAACCGGAGTTTTGTAAAAAGTGTTTGGATTAGCTTATAACGGTACCAAAAAGCAACAGACTGATAAGTTGTTTTTTAATGTTTGGCAAATTTTGCTTATATATGTAAAATGACCAAAAATGACAGTCTTTCATATTATTGACCTATGTGAGTGTTTAGGATTGCTTATTAACTTATGTGATTTTTTAACATGTAAAAATTTATTTTTCATCATTTATAATAATATCTTTGACAAAAATTTGTATCAATAAGATTAATAATTTATATCAATAAGATTAATAATTAACAAACATTAATATAACATGGTTAAAAAGGTAAACTGATAATAAACAGTTTTTCATAAGTCATGAAGGATTAACTTATCAAAAATTGCTTATTACCGGTTTGGCACCGGTATAAACAGTTTTATTTTTCCTCATCTAA